GGGGCGTGGGGGGCGGCGGCCGTGGGCCGGAGAGCCGGGGTGCGCACCTGGGCCCCCCAGGCCATGGCGGCGAAGGTAGACCTGAGCACCTCCACCGACTGGAAGGAGGCAAAATGTAAGTGTGAGGGTGAGGGGCGCGGGAACTGGGGTTGAGGTCCGCCCGGCCTGGGCTCCCCCGGGCCGGACAGCACCCGCCCAACAGCCACTACCACTAGACACCAACCACTAAACAGACCTGGGGAAGTTGAGGCCCTACCTACCAGATGTGGACCCCCAAGTACAAGCCACACTCCCATGTGCCCAACTCAGTCACCCAGACCAGGCAGGTCCAGGCCTCCAGGGCAGGGCCACTGTGAGGGCCACTCCTTCTCCCACTGGAAGGGGGGGGGGTCACAGCCCCTATGCCAGAGGTCATCCAGGACCTAGCACCTACACCATGGCCCAGGAAGGAAACTGAGGTCCAGTGCTGGACTTGATTTGCCCAAGGTCATGTAGTTTGTGGCAGAGGCCAGATTGGGATCCTGAAGTTTGTCAAGTGGTTTTCTCAACTGGTGGCATTTTCCGCAGGGAATAGCCGGGGCGAAGCTAGCCCGTCCTGTGGAGGGGCCTGCCCACACGCCGCCTCCTCCCTAGCCCGCCTCTCCGGGCAGGTGGCCTTTCGTCCTCCCCTCTGGCAGCCTGCCATGCGAACAGTCTGTCCCATTCCTGGTGGACACAGAGCCGAGGAGGAGGCGCCAGGGCCCTCCTGCCCTGAGAACGGTTACACCACCCCCTAGGAAGTTTCTGAATCCATAGGACCTACTCCTGCTCCTGGGCCCGGAGTCCCGCTGGGACAGGAGGGCCCCAAGCCAAAGAGCCTGGTTGGGTGGCTGGTTACTTCTGCCCTTCCGAGCATGCTCCCGGCCTTTTCTGAGGTTCTTCCCGGCTGGCTCCCCTTTCAAAAGGGCAGGGCAGGCAGCTCATTGGCTGGGCCTGCCTGGAGGAGTAGGTGCGGCCAGTGGAGCCTGCAGCCTGGCTCAGCTCTGGTGTCAGGCAGTGGTTGAGGAGGGAGGGGAAGCTCCAGGGGACATTCGCCTCGGCCTTGAGCCTCGCCGCCGCCGGCTCCGGGGGCTTGAAATGTGCTGGCAGAAGAGGCTCTTCTTTTCATGAACAAGCAGGCCAAGGCTGGCAGAGACCCCTGACAGCGGGGAGCCACGGTCCCCACAGGGAGCTCTGCTTTCTCCCTCAGGGGACAGTGACCCAGGGTGGTGGGAAGAGAAAGGCCCAGACCCTTGTTCTCCATCTGCTACTACTTCTAGAATTCAACTCCCCTCTGCTCTTAGGAGCCTAATAGCTTAGTGGTTATGCATTGGGCCCTGGTCCTCAGGGTTGGCATTTTGGAACCACCAGCAGCTCAGCATGAGAAAGCTGAGATTTTTCTACTCCCATAAAGAGTTAGTTTCAGGAACCTGCAGGGCCAGCTCCCCCCTGCCCTATAGGGTCACTTGGCATCAGAATTGACTGAATTTTCGGCAGTGGGTTTAGTTTTGGTTTGGAAACCCTGTGAGTGGTGATGGGCTCCGTGTTTGACTACCAAACCTGTCTGCAAGGCCCTCCTCCTTCTCCTCCTCCTCCTCCTCCCCCTCGGCAGAAAGATTAGGCTTTCTGCTCTGGAAAGATCTACAGCTTTGGAAACCCAAAGGGGCAGTTCTACGAGTCAGAATTGAGTGGGTGGCGGTGGGCTTGGTAATAGGGTTTTAACTCCGTTCCTTGTTGTTGTCAGCCACTGTGGGGTGGGGTCCCGCACACCTGGTGGCCCAATGAGCAGCAGAACAAAACTGTTGTGTTTCTGCTCCATCCCACAATGAGTTGTGTATCGGAAGACTGTGGTTCATAGAATTTTCATTGGCTGATTTTCAGAAGTATAAGATTCCCAGGCCTTTCTTCCTCATTGTCTTAGTCTGGAGGCTCCCCTGAAACCTCTTTAGAATCATAGTAACATGCACCCCTCATCTGATGCACGGGAGGTGGGTGCTCATGAAGTGGCTTGGGCCAGAGATCGAACCTGGGTCTCCTACGTGGATTCTACAACTGAATCACCGCTGCCCCTGCCCCCATCCTTTATCACGGAGAACAGCCAGTCTCGTGGGGTGGCCTGTGTCCAGAATTACCAGGCTACAGCCACGTCGCTGAGAGCTGAGACTGCTATCACTTCATTCCATCCGCCCACTTTGATCAGATGTCCCCGATGGAGGATTTAGCCCAGTGCCAGACAAGCAGGGCTTGTAGTCCGGGGGGAGGAGCAAGATAAACTGTGGTCACAGAAATCAGACACTGCCAGGCAGAGGTCGAGGAGCCTTGGGTGGCATAGTGGTGGTGGGTCAGACTGCTAACTGCGAGCAGCGAGGTCAGCAGTTCTAAGCCACCACCCGATTCCCGGGAATAAGCCAGGGTTTTCTACTCCTGTAAGTAGTTCCAGTCTCAGAAACCCACAGGCGCGTTCTACCTTGCCCTAGAGGGTCCCTATGATTTGAAATGGACTCACTGGCCGTGAGAGAGAGAGAGAGAGAGAGAGAGGTCAGTCCTATGAGAAAATGGAAACAGCAAGCCATCCAGAGCTGCAGGTGGGGCTGCCTGTATTGAGGGGTCAGGGCAGGCCGCAGGGGAGGACTGTGGGAAATGGCATTCGGTGCTTTCCTGAGTCACTGCCAGTCGGCCCAGCCAGGCCCAGCCAAGCCCAGGGAACAGGGTTGCGCCAGGCAATCCAGCCGAGGCCAGCTCCAGTCCCCGCCTCCCCCACCCCCTGACTAGATTAGACCCATGCTAGCTAATGCCAGCTGGAGGTGGGACGTGCCCCGGCAGGCTTCAGATGGTGGGGCACGCCCACAGCTGTTTTAGTTGTAGTTATCCATTGTTGTGTAACGCACTGCCTCAAAACGCAGCAGCTCAAAGCAGCCATGATTCCTGAATGATCACACCGTTGCCGAGGCCCACCCGGGAATCCAGGAGAGGAGTTGGTTCTGCGTGAGCCGGTTCTGGCTCTGGGGCTCCCAGGTCAGCTGATTGCAAGGTGGCCGAGTTCCTCGACACGGAAGCCTCTCCACAGGGCTGCTTGAGTGTCCTCCCACCACAGCAGCCCGCTTTGTTCCTGGGAGTAGAAAGCCCTGTCTTTCTCTCTGGGGAGCTGCTGGTGGTTTTGAACTGCTGACCACGTGGATCACAGCCCAAGGTGTAACCACCACCCCACCCGGGCTCCTTATGTTCGGGCTTTAGAATCCAGAACTCCATTGGAAAGTCCAGTCCATGTTCAAGGGGAGGGAAATTAGGCTCAACCTTTTGAAGGAAAGCCTTAAAAATAATTAGTTGAGAATATATATTTTAAAAACAGTTTTTTTAAATTTGTTTTTGTTGAAAATATATACCTGGTGGGTGAATAATCCAAACCCACTGCCATTGAGTTCATCCTGAACCACAGTGACTCCACAGGACAGGGAGCAACTTCGGAGCGTTTCCCAGGCTGCACATTTTTACGGGAGCAGACTGCGTCCTCTTTCTCCGCAGGAGTAACTGGTAGATTCGAACCGCTGACCTTTCAGTTAGCAGGCCAAGGCTTAACCCGCCGTCCCACCAGGGCCTTTTATGTGCAGCAAAGCAGACACTGGTTTCACAGGTGCGGCGTGCGTCGTTCAGCGATATTTGTCACCTTCTTTGAGGTGTGCCTCCCATCTCCCTCGCTGTCCTTTTCTGAATCGTTCTCCCCGTCACATGGACTCACACGGACTCACGGGCTCCTCAGACGCTGTTGTCAGTGTGTGATCTCTGGTGGGGTGGTGCTAGGCGCCGTCTAGTCTGTTCCGACTCCTAGTGACCCCGGGTGCACGAAACACCCTCACCCGCCCGCTCCTCGCCATCCTCACATGGTTCTTGTGTCTGAGCCCCTGGTCAAGGTCCCTGTGTCCACCCATCTTCTCTAGTCTTCCTCTTGTTCGCCGTGGCCCCTCAACTTGACCGAGCATCGGGTCTCTCTTTTTTTGGCGATTCTGACTCATCGGACCCAGGGGTTCTCCACCTTCCTCAGGCCGCGACCCTTTCATACAGTTCCTTATGCGGTGGTGACCCCCCCAACCATCAAATCATTTTCATTGCTACGTCATCACTGTCATTTTGCTACTGTGATGAATCGGGCGACCCCTGTGAGAGGGTCGTTCGACCCCCAAAGGAGTCTCCACCCACAGGTTGAGAACCGCTGCTACCCTGTTTGCCCGAAGGTAAGACATCCCCCGAAAATAAGACCTACTCACAGTTTTGCCTCTTGCTGAAATAGAAGGCATCCCTCCCTGAAAATAAGCCCCCCCCCCAAGTTACCATAACTCTGGACTCTGGACTGTAGTGCCAGGCGCCGCTGTGCAGCTCACTGTTGGCCGCAGCGCAGCCGGAGCAGACAGGAAGTACAAGGTCTCTTTTAATAAAACTATACACAATAAATGTGTACCGTATTCTTCTTCATGGAACAATAAGACATCCCTGAAAATAAGACCTAGCGCATCTTTGGGAGCAAACATTACTATTAGACACTGTCTTATTTTCGGGGAAACAGGGTATATAGGGTTTTCGTTTCTTTTTCTCCAATCATTTTATTGGGAGCGCTTACAGATCATATAGCCATCTATAATTCAGTTAGATCGAGCCTAAATTGTACACTTTACGGACAGCCGCCATCATTTTCAAATCACTTTCTTTCTTCTCGAACCGCCTCTCTTGCCGACGTGTCCCCGGGCCGTGAGACGAGGTGGCGCCATCCTGGCCACTGGGAGCAGTCTGGTTGTGCTTCCTCGAGGCAGGGTGCTGCTGCGTCCAGGACCTTGTCCGGCACAATTCAAACGCTCCGCTCCTTCTTCTGTCGTCTTTCGTCAGTGCCCAACGTGCCACAACGTTCCACAAATGCCACCCCCACCTGCCACCCTTTCACAGGGGTCGTCGGTCAGGCGGAGAGGTGGCCTCGGGGCAGTAGTTTCAGGGGGTTATTAAGGCTGCATGGCGTCCGGAAGTCTAGCATCCACCTGAATTCGAAACTCTGCTGCGTTTCTCACACTGTTGACATTCTGGGGGGGACCGGGGCGGGGGGCAGGGGGGCTG